CGAGGATGCTGAGACTGCCTGCTCGAAACAGGTGAAGGACATTCTGATTAACAGTAGAAGACGGTCCACTAGAAGAACTTACCTGTATAAATGGACTCGATTCTCTCGCTGGTTTGCTCAAATACATGCGAGCCCACCAGAGCTCGCTCCTTTACCTACCCTACTGGACTACTTACTATCCCTAAAACAGTCAGGCCTAGCACTTAGCAGTATCAAAGTCCACACCGCCGCCATAGCTGCCTTTCACTATCCCACAGATGGCGCTTCTTTTCTCACTAACCCATTGACCAAATGCTTCCTTAAGGGATTACAAAATACCTTTCCTCCTGTCCCTCCACCAGTCCCCATCTGGGACTTAAACCACGTTCTAAAGAGCCTGACAAAACCGCCATTCGAACCTATAGCCACTTGCTCTTGGTCTCATTTGTCTATGAAAGTATTCTTCCTCGTTGCTATTACCTCTAGCAGGAGGGTGAGTGAGCTTGAGGCCTTGATGGCCGACCTTCCATACACCGTATTTACAAAGGACTGGGTGATACTCGGACCCCACCCTAAGTTCCTCTCTAAAGTACCCTCCCCCTTCCATGTGAATGAACCCAAAAACTTACCTGCCTTCTTTCCAAAGACTCATGTTGACCCAGTCCAGGCTGCATAGCACACTCTCGACATCCGATGAGCCCTGGCCTTCTACATTGACCGCGCGAAGCCATGGCGAGCCTCACCTTGACTCTTCATCTCTTATGCTGAGAGATCTAAGGGACAAGCTGTCTCATCTCAGAGAGGGTGCTGGGGTCAACTGATCCCCGTCTAGACTACTGCGCTGTGCCAACTATCAGCCGATTGGCACAGTGTGGTGGCCATTTTGATGTAAATGAAGTCCTGCCCTGCACTTTCCAGACCAGAAAGCCTGATATACAACTGCCACAGCTTAACTATCACATTGTGGAATAGTCTTTGCAAGCAACATGTTGGCAGCACTATTGCTTAAATTATAAAAAACAAGGAGTGAAAATAGCCCTAGCACACAGAAAACAATCCTTCATAGGACTCCTGAGACAGAAGGCATGTGTGATTTCATAAGCAACTCTGATTTTCCAAATTTTGAATGCCAAATCCATGTAAGCAAATTGAAACAAGGAAACACTTAATTCAAACCTTCCAGGCATTTTTGCAGATTATGCTAAGAATTTCAGAAGATACTAATCTGAGAGAGGAAATCAAACAGTGCACAGTGTGAGGGATGATTTTCACCACTAGTGCAGCAGTTTGAGTAGGGGCACAGCCTGGGGGGATGGATGACTCAGGAGGTTCAGAGGTGTGGGAAATGAAACTCTTCCTTTTGGGGTATTGGTTCAGAAGGGGGCTGTTGCACTGAGGGAAGCCAAATTTCCTTAAGGGTGAAGAGGGTTAACTTTTGATTTCTGGCTGGAGAGAGGACAAAGGGAGACTGAAGGAAGAAGAATGACCAGCCGAGATTCTGAAGGAGGAGAGAACATAAGAACGGCCATACTGGTCAGACCAAAGGTCCTTCTAGCCCAGTATCCTGTCTACCGACAGTGGGCAGCACCAGGTACCCCAGAGAGGGTAGACCAAAGACAATGATCAAGCGATTTGTCTCCTGCCATCTCTCTCCAGCCTCTGACAAACAGAGGCCAAGGACACCATTTTATCCCCTGGCTAATAGCCTTTTATGGACCTAACCTCCATGAAATTATCTAGCTTCTCTTTAAACTCTATTATAGTCCTAGCCTTCACAGCCTCCTCTGGCAAGGAGTTCCACAGGTTGACTACACGCTGTGTGAAGAAGAACTTTCTTTTATTAGTTTTAAACCTGCTATCCATTAATTTCATTTGGTGTCCTCTAGTTCTTCTATTATGGGAACTAATAAATAACTTTTCTTTATCAGCCCTCTCCACACCACTCATGATTTTATAGACCTCTATCATATCCCCCCTCAGTCTCCTCTTTTCTAAACTGAAAAGTCCCAGTCGCTTTAACCTCTCCTCATATGGGACCCGTTCCAAACCCCTAATCATTTTAGTTGCCCTTTTCTGAACCCTTTCCAAGGCCAAAATATCTTTTTTGAGGTGAGGAGACCACATCTGTACACAGTATTCAAGATGTGGGCGTACCATAGTTTTATACAGGGGCAGTAAGATATTCTGGGTCTTATTTTCTATCCCTTTCCTAATAATTCCTAGCATCCTATTTGCCTTTTTGACCGCCGCTGCACTCTGTGTGGAAGTTTTCAGAGAACTGTCCACGATAACTCCAAGATCCCTTTTCTGATTTGTTGTAGCCAAATTAGCCCCCATCATACTGTACGTATAGTTGGGGTTATTTTTCCCGATGTGCATTACTTTGCATTTATCCACATTAAATTTCATTTGCCATTTTGTTGCCCAATCACTCAGTTTGGTGAGATCTTCTTGGAGTCCCTCACAGTCTGCTTCTGTCTTGACTATCCTAAACAGTTTTGTATCATCTGCAAGCTTTACTATGTCACTGCTTACCCCTTTCTCCAGATCATTTATGAATAAGTTGAAAAGGATTGGTCCCAGGACTGACCCTTGGGGTACACCACTAGTTACCCCTCTCCAATCTGAAAATTTACCATTTATTCCTACCCTTTGTTTCCTGTCTTTTAACCAGTTCTCAATCCAAGAAAGGACCTTTCCTCTTATCCCATTTGCAAGCACTGGATTAGTGTGTCATGAACTCATGAGAATTGCAGGTGTGTTTCAGAACTGTTGTAACTTACAACAGTAACAAGTGAACCCTTTCTTACATGAACTGGATCTACTTGTCTTCCTCGCGTAGTTTACCTCTCCAGATAGGAGCTCCGCTACAATTAAGTGTTATTCAGCAGCAGGTGTGGGCCCTGATTGTTTTATGTTGAGAACTGAGACTTCCTCTTGTTTAGAACATGCAGTGAGATTACTGGCAACCTGCCATATCATGATTTAGCATGAAGAACTCTCCCTTTCTTTTCAGACCTTGACTTGGTGCCAGCATGATGAGAGGAGGAAAAGACGATTTTGCTGACATAGGACACCCAAGGCCTAGGGGTAGGATTTTAATTTGGGAAGCCATTTGCATTCCTCATTGAGTTCACTAGATGTGAGCAAACTGTATTGCAAGAGAAGCTTCCTGGTGATGGGGCAAAAGAACATAATAAGTGGTGTGACTGAGTATAAAAGCATATTGGAATTATGCAAAGCCAGGGATGAAAACAACATGTTCACCTGAAATCTTCAGTTTGCAGACAATTGCAGCCAACTTTCATGACAATGCAATGGAAGCAGGAGATTTAACCTAAATACAACAATAAAAATATCATTTGATTTTTATCTCAACATAAATAAGGCATGAGGTCGGTACATTCTAGTCTATAGATCAGCTGCAGGACAGATCATTCAGAACAATGGAAGTATTTCTCATGGCTCATATGTCCCCTATGCAAGTCCTTTTGCAATTTCTCTTATTTGGACTGAGCCATTCCATTAGATACTTTTCCTTGGCTAGGTTTGTCACTGGCCAGCTACACAAGAACTAGATATTGTGTATATAATCCTGTCCTCCATTATATTATCCTTCCTTGTTCATAAAGGCACGCAGGTTAATTTTAGAGAAGGCACACTGCACTTTCTCACACTTACCGTACAGTACACATGTAATATGAAGAGACACTACTTGCTACCATAGAAGGAAAGACAGAGGCAAGCTGTCCATTAGACTTTCTTGCTACAACCTGTTAGTGCACCCAAACTTGACTTGTGATCAGCCTGCCGCAATTATGAATTTAAGCTGGGATTGACATTTTTACCTTGAAAATCTGGGGGAAATCAATTGTTTGGGGACTTTAGATTCCTAATATCAGGATGATCTCACTTTATAGCTATTTTCCAACAGATTTTATGTCCCACCTTAACTCAAAAATGGCTTGGCTTGGAAATACCAAATGCACTTTAATAGTTTGCTGTCTCTTAGAGTTTTAGTCTCTTTGCCTAGTTTGTGCCAGCTGTGTACTTCCTAAGCGGTGGGTCCTAGCTGTCTTCTTGGCATATAGGAGCCACAGGCAGTCTGCTACGTTTTGTCTGTACCAGGAAAGTAACCCTATTGCTCCTAGTTCAGCCCCCCACTCGCTGTAACAGTAACAATTGAATGGAAGCTACAGCCAGAACTTGGATATATGACATCTGGACAGAACTTGGCTGGAGGCTGGCTCAGAACAGAGGTGGATGACAAGGGGCAAAAAAATTCCTGAATCCTGCCTAGGCTTCAGGTTTTGGCAGCTGTTGTTGAGCAGCTTTGGTTGAGCTGCTCTAGGAGTGACTTTTGGCTATGAAGTTTGCTAGTGTAAACGCAGCCCAGATCCAGTAGCTCTCTGAAGAGCTCGGGAGCAGCCTGGCTTCATTTGTTCTTTCAGGTGATTCATATGTTAGTGCTTTACGTGTTGGTCAGTTACCTTCAGCATTGTTTGGTTTAGGGTATGCTTGTTTGCATCCTTGGTTAGGAAGCTGCAACCTGGGTGTGATGTTATATAGGTTGGCTCATTGTTTCATTTGTATTTTAATCCCCTGCTTGCAGGGAGTGTTTGCTGAATTGGTGGTGATGGGTATTCTTTTCCCTAGGTTGATTAGGAGCAGGAACCCAGCCAGCTCTTTGCAGACAGTTGTGCTCACTGTACATATGAGCGCTCTCTCACCCACACACATACTGTACGCACACACACAATGCCTCGACTCTTTGTTCCTGGTAAACGTATAGAGAAACGGTCTGAGTTGAAGTGACTTTTCCAGCTTTTCAGAACTCGTTCTTCTCCATTCCAGGATCAGCTCCCGTCACAGGTTAAATCTGAACTTCCTCATCCTCCCTTGCACAGCCCCAGATTAGTTGATTGTCTCCCATCGGTGACTGGGCAAGAAGCCACACCCCTGACAGAATGAGGATATAAGACAGGTACCACACAGCTAGAGAGCCAGCAAGAAAGCAGCTTTGGGGAGGCCTCTTGCGGCAGGTCCCTGCAGAGATGTGGCTCCTTCTTCTCTGTACCCTGTCCCCACTCCTCCAGACTGCTGTCAGGGCTGACCCTGTACCGTAAGTCACTGTGGAGTTAGGGACTGGCTCCTGCTCCTTGGCTGTGGAGTGGAGAAGGAAGAGGGCAGGGGTTTGCAAACTGCTGCCAGGGGAAGCAGTGGGCACTTTGGTGTCTAGAGACATTGCAAATGCCCAGGGCAGACTGAGAGCAGATTGTTGGAAAAGAACTGGGAAGTGAGAGCAAGGAGGAGGAGACAGCTACTCAAGGGTGATGGTAGGGAATGGGTGTGATAAGGAATAGGGGATGGGAGAGAGGGAAGATCAGTGGACGGAGTCAGAGAAGCAGGCAAGTGGTTAGATGTGAGGGACCAGGAATGGTACTCATTTGAAGAGTGGCAAGGGATGGCTGGAGGGGGGGACAGGTGGACATGGATGCAGATGGGCATTTGTGAATGCTGTGAAGGAGACCACAGGAAGTGGGAAAATCCAGGCTGGTTTTCCAAGACCTCTGGGTAGAGTGGGGAGGGGGAGCACAGAAGAGAAAAGAAGCTCAAACTTTTTTTTTTTTATTTAACATGTGGGGGATAGTGAAAGCTGTTTAGAAACCTGGTATCAGTGCTGTGTGGAGACTGATTAAATGGAGTTATACAGCCAGGTCGGGGTCTCTTTATTCTTGATCTCCGGCACGTCTCTCCTTTCCCTAGTTCTTTACACTTTCAAAATGGAGACCAAATTTCATATTGAAGCCATTCCCTCTAAGCCCCCCCCCCCCCCCCCCCCCCCCTGGGGGTCACCCTTGGGGCACCACTGCCTGTGATTAGGGAGATGGTTCTGGTGGCACAGAGGGCAGGTAATTACTTAGACAAAGAACTGCAGGGAGGGGGTGTGAGTATCAGCTGGAGATGGTTTCCTTGCATTTGGTTTCCTTTCCTTCCCTCTTTCTAACTTTTCACTGAGGACAATGATAATGGGGGGATGGTTGCACAGAGAAAGTTGGCCTAGGCACAGCAGCTCTATGAAACATGTCCGCCAGTGCAACACTATTGTCAGTAGCCCGGGAGAGCTACGTTACAGAGGGTAGCACAGCACCTGCTAAAGGACTGCTTTAAGTGGAAAGCAGAAACTGAGACTGACAAAGGCAGCCTCAGTCCTGCTGGAGAGCTAGTAGAGACTTCTCACATCCCTCCCCGCAGTGTGGGATGAGTGTGTCTGGGGAGGAACTCAGCCAGTCCCCCCAGACAGGAACGAAACTTCTGCATAAAGCAGCTCTGAGTTCACGAGCAGCCAGCTAGGTTGACGAAGTCCCACCGGTACAGTTCCTCAGCTGCTCAGAGAACTTGATTCCCTGGGGGCTTTGTGTGTGTTTTAAAAGCAACACACAAGGTTCAATCCTGCCTTCTGATCCTTTTTCTCTCACTGCTCAAGGAACTATGTGGTTGTGCTACCAGCCCGGCTGCAGTATCCCTCCGTGCAGAAAGCCTGCATGGACTTGAGTAAGGTGAAGAGTTCCATGCTGCTCACCATCACTCTGGAGACCAAGGCCAAGACTTACAAGCTGCTGGATGGGTTTGTCTGGAAGAAGAGACAGCTCAAATGCTTCAGCTTCCCTGTAAGTGCTCCATGACTTTCAAGTGGTGTTGGCTAGATGTAGGTGTGCCTATGGTGCTTCCTCACTGCTTGGCTAATGCACCTATGTGAAGATGTTTGCTGGTCTGACTGGTACAGATGGCTATGCCTTGGTATTCAAATAGCTACTGTGACATTCCAGACTACAATCCAGATTGCTGGGGAGCTGCTAGTTCTGCCCTGCAACCTTGGATGCTTTATAATTTGCTGCAGCAGCTCCCACCTGTGTCAGCTTTCCAGCATACAAGCTACACCCTGAATGGCTGTGTGTAATTGCCCTCTGGCTCTTACCAGCCTCAGTTATACGGCAAGGTGATTCCAACACACCCATTGTTCTAGATTTCCTCCCTCTCCTGGGCTATACAGTTCTTTAAAAGGAATAATATGCACCCAACTTGATACCCCAAATAGTGTTTTCCAAAACACTTCATTTTAAATGCATTGGATTAGGTAAAACAAGCTTATTAGCTAAACACAGATTTTAAGCAAGCACAAGCAGTGAGGCATGAAAGTCAGAAATGGTCACAAAGACACCAGTTGGATTTTATCTAATTTAACAGGCTATTATAAAATCAAAACAAGTTTGGTTTGTTTGTTTTTCACCACATGCTTTCAACAGTCTTACTAACCAAACTTCTGAGGCCAGGACCACTCCCCCATGTCCAATAGCTGTTCTTTATCCATTCAGGTGCAGGGAATTGATGGGTAAAGAGGGGGTGGAGCTTGAAGTGTCTGTCCCTCCTTTTTACAATTTCAGTCTCCTTCTTGAAGAACATTTGCAGCTCGATACCAGGAGAGACAGTCTCTGGGAAGGATGTTCCCTCCTGCTTTTGTTTTCTCACTTGTTAGCGCTTCATTTGCTTCCTTTCCTTTTTGACTGGTTAAAGGCAAATTAAGCTGAGCACTCGTTCCTTTGTCTGAGACATAGCTCTTTGCCAACCTCAGTCTGGAACATGTGTTAACACTGCAACAGTGGAATCTTATAACGTCACATACAATGTTGCTACACGCTCTCAGGATGATACTGATTACACCTTGCTACTGTAGGCGTTTCAAATGATACCTTACACAGCATATCTGGTACACAGATTATTACAATAGGGTGTGAATACAGGGGTACATTCTGCCACATCTGTGTTCGTGTCATCTGTGCTGAGTCCTCTGAGCCCTTCCTGGATTCCCTCTAGTTTGCTGGGTAGGAGTGGGAGACAGACAGAAAGGTGCAGGCAGGTAAATTCTAGTCATTCTTCACTTTCTCCATTGGAGTGGTGGGGAGCCAAGGAGGAAAAGCAGTGGGATGCTGGATAGATGGGAAGGTAGTTTGCAACCACAATTTGGTGCCCAGTACCTGGAGCTGGGGCAGCAGAGGTGGTGATTGCCAAAGCATGACAACTGCGGGAAGCTATTTCCCTCCTTGGCACCGGAGACTGTATTTGTTCCACAGCAGGATGGGTTTGCCTTAAGAAAGCTATTGTTTCAGCTGATACTTTTTAAGGGAAGCCTCAGATTCTAGAACACAACTATGTGGTAACGTGAAAAGCTCACCATAATGATGCAGCTGTTTGTAAGGTAATTGTGTGCTCACAGGTACTGAAAATGCCACATCTTGTTGTTGAATTTACATAATAAGCATAGAATCATAGGACAGGAAAGGATCTGTAGAGGTCATCAAGTCCTGTCCCTTATCCTCACTGCAGGACTAAATATTGTCTAGATCATCCATCCCTAACAGGTGTTTGTCTTATCTGCTCTTAAACCCTCCAATGATGGAGATTCCACAACCTCCCTAGGCAATTTATTCCAGCGTTTAATCACCCTGACAGTTAGGACATTTTTTCCTAATGTCCAACCTAAATCTCCCTTGCTGCAGTTTAAACCGATTGCTGCTTTTCCTGTCCTCAGAGTTAAGAACCAATTTTCTCCTTCTTTCTTGTAATAACCTTTTGCGTACTTGAAAACAGTTCTCATGCCCCCTCTGCCTTCTCTTCTCTAGAGCTAAACAAACCAGTTTTTTCAGTCTTCCCTGGTAGATCATGTTTTCTAGATCTTTAATTATTTTGTCACTATTCTCTGGACTTTCTCCAGTTCTGGGCATCACATTTCAAGAAAGATGTGGACAAACTGGACACAATACTCCAAATGAAGCCTAATCAGTGCAGAGTAAAGTGGAAGAATTACTACTCGTGTCCTGTTTACAACATGCCTGCTAATGCATCAGAATGATGTTCAGGTTTTTTTGGCAACATGTCTCACTGACTTGTATTTAGCTTGTGGACCACTATGACCCCCAGATCCTTTTCCATAGTAGTCAGGCAGCCTTTCTAGTGTATGTATGCAAATGTCTGTTCCTTCCTAAGTGGAGCACTTTGCATTCATCCTCGTTGAATTCATCCTATTTACCTCAGACCATTTCTCCAGTTTGTCCAGATCCTTTCGAATTACGACCCTATCCTCCAAAGCACTTGCCACCCTTCCCAGCTTGGGCATCTGCAGACTTTTAAGTGTGCTCTCTCTGCCATCCAAATTACCATCTAAATCACTGCTGAAGATATTGAACAGAACCGGCCCTAGGACTGATCTCTACAATACTCTCACTAGATAAGCTCCAATAGGCTGCCTGGCAACTGATGGCCCCAGTGGTTAGATCATTGGTTAGGGACTTCAGGTGGACTTATCCCTCCTTTTGTCCTCAGGTCCTGGCTCACAGCCTTAAACAACGGAGTTGAGTTTTCCTCGTAGCCATAGTGTGTGTGTGTGTGGGGGGGGGGTGTCTCAGGCTCTTTTCTCCTGAGCTACTTCCAATGTAAGTCTTTTAATTTGCAGTTTGACCCTGCTAGTCCAGTTACCGCACAGTTGGGGCATGTCTGCAGACTCCCCTCAGCAGGGGAAAACTTGCTTCCTGTGGCTACATTGCCAGGTGTGTTACACCTGTGCTTTCAGACAGGCACCCAGAGAGCTCCTGCCTAGGCCAGGCTCTTTTCTCCTTCCTCCAGGCCTGGCACTGGGTGCAGTTACAAGAGGGTGCAGCTAACTGAACTCAAAGGTTTCCTTTAACCTTTGCTGGTGCCAGGCAGTCATCTCTCTGTTTTATTCAGCTTCCTCATTGCCCCATATGAGTGTGGAGAAGCAGTGTTCTTTCCTTATGTGCGTACAATGACAGTAACCCTCCTTCGGGCACCCCTGCCCCTCCTGCACCCCAACTCCCTCCCCCAGGTCACCATCCAAACCCTCTGTTCTGCCCCCAACCCCAGGTCACAACTCCCTCCCAGATCCTGTACCCCCTTCAACACCCCTTCCCAAGGCCAAAATCCTCTCCTGTATTCAGACTCCCTCCCTAACCTTGCACCCTATTCTCCTGCCCCAGGTCACAGTTCCCTCCTTCACCCAAACTCCCTCTTAGACCTCACACCTTCTCCTGCACCCCAGTTCCTTATCCCGTGCACCCTTCTGTACCATCCTAGACTCCCATGCCTTCTCCACAGAAAAGTGTGGCCCTTGACCACTTTCCAAAAACTTGGAGAGGCCCCCTACCAAAATTTATTGTCCACCCCTGCTTTAATTCTAATTGCATCTAAAAACACAAGAGAGATTGTACCAGTTTGCACCAGTCTCGGAGGGGTAGCCATGGTAGTCTGTGACTAAAACAACTTAAACAACAATGGTCCTGAAGCACTTTAGAAACTAACAAAAATATATAATGTGACAGGAGCATTGTTGTTGTGTTAGTTTGCACCAGTGCAAGGCTGGGCCACCCACCCAACAGTGACACTTATTCCCCCACTCAGTAATGCAGAGTAACTGAAGTATAATGGTCTCTGGGAGGAAGGCAACATGATGCTGATGTCACTGGCCGGGTGGAGATTGGATGCCTGGGGCTGTAACGGAGTAGATGTTGTGTTGATCATTAGTGCCCATAAATCCCCTCTGTTTTCTTCCTGTCCAAGTACTTGGTACTGCTTAGGGTGTGTGTTCATTTTTGAGCTTGGTGAGGGATCCACAGGCAGGTAATTGTTCACTTGGTGTGGCCATTGCATGATGACAAAAGCCAAATCTGTGCTGCTAATGGCACTGGTGGAGGAAGTCCTAGCTGAACTGAAATACTCTTCACTCAGCGGGAAGGTGCAGGAGAGAGCTGGAGCCCGCTTGCACCAGCTTCTTGACAATCTCACTATGTATTTTAGCAATGTGTGTGTCTGTCAGTCCATTTGTTCGGGAACTCTTCCTAAACGGCAAGAGCTAGGACCACCAAATGTGATATGCGGCTTCCTCTTATTGTATTGTAAAGCAAGGTCAGGGTTTGGGTGTGCCAGGACAATGGGATGTGTATGGAATTCAGTTATTTATGGCAGGAGGGGTTATACTGTAGAATGACCACAGGCGGCTGCAAAGAGCCAGAGATGGGGACCGGGCCATCTATAGCCCCATTGGGCCAGCAGGGAGAAGGGGTGGAGAAAGGGACAGCTATCTACTATAGATTTCAGAGAGTTGCTCGGTGTCTCCCCAACTGGGGGACGTGCACCCCTCCTCCGGCTGTGCCAGCTGCAGCGGCCATGGAGAGACACTTCCCACATGGCCCCACGTTGCTGCAGTGAGAGGGCTGGGGATGTCTTCTCTCTCCATGGCAGCCTGGTACCGAACCCCTCAGCCCCAACCTCACCCCAGAGCAATGGTTTAAATGAAGAAAAACAAAACTTATTTGAGTTAAGGACCCGAGCAATGCTGGGTTAATCTAGATGCTGTATTAGTCACACTCATGTGTTCTTGAAGATCCTTCTACTAAAGGAGAAGTCCCTCAGCTGGCTGCAAAAGTAGGTTCCTTATCTCCTCTGTAGACGACTCACTAGTGTGCGATGTGATCTCACATGCACAGCTGGTACATTAATTTCCTCCTCAAAGGAGTGTGCCTAATTCTCCTAATTTTTCCTGTGTTCCCCAGGTCCCACCTCCATCAGGAGGCACTGAGGAAGTTGCCACCATTCAGCTGTCTGGACGTGGAGGTGGGAGTAAGATATCTGAGAAAAAACAAGTCCTGATCCAGAGGGCTAGCAACAGCACTTTTGTGCAGACTGACAAGCCTGTCTATATGTCCAGGCAGTTGGGTAAGAAGGGCTCTGCCCCGGGAATTGCTTTCTCTGCATTTGTGCATGCAGATGTGTCATTGGGTGTGTATGTATATATATTTCTAGAGAGGTGCAATTGTGTGGTGGTTTTTCTTTGAAAATGAGCATAATTTGTGGAGGGCAGTTGTATTTGTATGCACTTGTGCTTGCCGATGTATTCGTGTACGTTTCAGATGCCTGTGGTGAGGTACTTGTCTTTAGATTGGAACATAAGCAGTGCTGACCCTCAATTGAGTGCATGTCTGCAGATTGATCCATGTCTAGAGGTTGGTGAGTGGACAGGGCTGCAGGTGTGGCCATGGGGGCTGAAGGGATGTGTGTGTAGATGTGGGGTTCTGTACCGGTGTGCATATGTGAGTAGTCCGTTTTGCAAGTATACAAACGTCTGGAGACAAGTTTGTGCACAGATGTTCAAGTGAGAAAGCAAATGTCAATGTATGTATCTGCTGGTGCGTGCAACTAGGGTAGAATTCTCCCTTTCCAGTTAGCTGTCTGAGAACCTGCTCAGATACCAGCCTAGGGATGGCTTGCCTAGGGAGAGGCCTTTTCCTCCCTTCCCCTTTCACAACCCCTGGCAGATTATTTTGTAAGTGATCTTATAGGCTCTACATACTCAGCTATAATCATTCATGCAGAAAACTCTTTTTGCCTTTCAGCCTTATCTCTTCAGAACCACTAGATCGGTGATTCTCAACCCCCTTTCTTTTTACCCAGGGACCCCCCTACATTCAAAACCACAAACCTGTAGACCACCAACCAGAGGTGATGCAAGGGGGAAGCACACAGAGGGTCATAGCTTCCCTCAAGATTTCTGCCTTGCATTGGCCATACTTGCTGAAGTGCTGATGTAGAGGTGTGTCTCCTTAGCCAGCTGCTGCCTGTTCATGGAGTCAGTGGCTCTGAGGCAACTCCTTCTGATGTCAGGGAAGATTTCTTTTGTGCAGTGATGCTGCGTTTTTGAGTTGCACTCTGCTGGGGTGGAGGTGGCACTCCTTCCTCAAGTGCTGTCATCTGAGTTTTAAGTTTGGCCCTGAGGCCCGCTACCCAAGGCTGAAGCTTGGTACTTGATGAACCCCTTGAAACCTGTTTGTAGATCCTAACTGAGAACAGTGCACTAGCCCCAACCCTACACCACACTTCCCAAAAATATCCCCCAAGTTCTTTCTCCTGTCTACATATT